GGCCCCACGATCTCTGACGGGTCACACATCTGCACCCCCAGCCTGGCACCTTCATTCCTGGCCTCCTTGGCCCGGGTCTTCAGGCTCCTCTGAGGCTGAGACATCCTCACGGGGAAGGGGAAGGTTTGGGGACACTTTGCCCTCTGACTCAGTCAGGTGCTTATGGGGGAAATGGAGCAGGGCCAGCTGGTCCTTCCTCAGGTGCCATCTCGTACCCTCGGAGGAAGTGGTTAAAGGCTTAACTCTTCCATTTTGGGCTTGTCACCTGGATCAGCTACTCTGACACCTGACAGCTCAGTTCTCTCCCACCCACAAGCACCCGGAAGTGGGGAGACACCACAGAGGTTACAGGGGAACTGGGAAGAAGGTACCACTGTCTGAGGGGAAAGGCAGAAGGAGAGAGGGTTGCAGAGCCTGGCTCCTCGCGGCTCTGGTCAAGCCATAATGGCTCTCCCCACTGCCCCCAGCAGCCCTCCCACATTGGGAACAGAAGGCCTTGTGCCAAGCCAGAGGGGAAACTGAAGTCACCCCCATGGCTTCCAAGGCCTTCAGGGCCTGGTCCCCAGATGCACACCCCCCCCGTCCCTCCCACTTCCTCCTGCAGCCGGTCCCCCTTCCTCTGTGTCTCCTTCAGCTTTGATCATGCTCCAGCTTCCTCCTTCCAGAAGAGACTTTCCTTCAATCCCGCCTTCCCCTAGGGCTACTGAGGTCTCTCTCCGCCCCCCCCCCCCCCCCCCCTCCCCCCGCCAGGAGGCACACAGCTTGCTGCCAAGTTGGGAATCACAGAACACTTCTTTCATAGTTTTCAAGTTATCAGCTCTCTATGTTTTCAGGGGAAGTACCTCCAAATTTCAACTGATGGGGCAAACTGTGAATCTGAAAACAGGACAATCAGTACATTAGAGAGTGTCCCAAACATCTGGAAACACAACGAAAATACTGAGCCAATGATTTGAAAACTAAGCAGTTATTTGGAACTAACACATTGAGTAGAAATGTTTCTGTCCTGGCTTTGCACGCACACACACGCTTGAGATAGTGCAAACGGCCCTATTTCTACTCCCTTGTACCCTCCCAGCTCCGCCGCTCACTGCGGCCTGGCCTCTGTCCCCATTATGCCGCTCATGCTGTCGCCCTGCACACCGGCCTACCCATGGCCACACACAGACCCAGAGGTCCTGCCCGCCTCCCCTTCCCAGGCCCGGGAGTGAAAGGGGCAGGCCCCAGGGGACTGATCTCCCCCGCCTAGCCCCCATCTCTGCCTCTGGCCAACTGGGGACCTTAGACGGGGCTATTAACGGCTCTGTGCCTGTTTCCTTATCTGAGGATAATGACAGCTGGTGGAGGTAATAGAAGTAGAGCACGTGGGAGAATAAGGGCTGAACGAGGAGTCACACTACCGCGCTGTCTCCGGATCTTCGTCGTCCTACCCTGGATGCTCTTTCCCAGACTCGGTTTCCGGGGCTCATCTCCTTCTGTCTGTTTAAAGCTCAAAAGAAGGTCCAAGGACCACCTCCTTGGGATCCCCTGAGGCTGTTCCCACCACAGATTCCTGTGGTGGGTCTGGAGTCGAGCCCAGGAATCTGCATGTTAAACGGCCGCTCGTGTGTGCTGACGTTGGAGAACTCAGCCTCAATTCTCTTTTCCCTCCAGAATCTCTCCATCATCCCCTGGCTTTGCTCCAGCACACTGGTGACCTGCACAGGACAGCTGATGTCAAGGACCATCCATGTAAGCAGGTCAGGTGTCAAGGCCCAGGCATCTCGTTGAACTGAGTCATGTAGACAGCTGTGTTTCCTTAGAGATGATCATTTGGACACTGTCTGAGGAGAGGTGACCCTTTCTAAAGCCCGCGAGACTTTTTGTTTGAACTATTCAGTTCCTGAAATACATTCTGTGTGTCTCTGCCTCGTGAAGCAGAGTATGAGAACACAGCTGAACCTTCCTTTAGAGACTAAGGTCATCATCGGGAACATAACGTCCTAATGTGCAGTGTTCCCGGTGTGGGGTTGTGGCGATCATACAGTGAGTTCTCAGAGACTCGGTGGGCTTTGTAAAGACCACCTCTCTTGCTCTAAGGTATTTCAATATGTTGTCAGCTTGAAACCAATAAAAAGGTGTTGGGGTGTGTCTAATAAGATTAAAGAAGATCTGTGTAAGGGGATCCTGGGCTCCCCTGTGGGGAGAGAACACAGATTTCAGCTTATGCTCTCTGAAACATCTTTCAGCTACCCAGGGGCAGTCTCCTCTTTATGGATTTGCTCACGATTGTGGTCCAGAGAGGGGCTGGCTAGCTGCAGGCCACATGGGGTCCCAGTTGTGGGCTTTACCAATCTCTCCGCCTACATTCGCCCATGCGTGCATGCATCCAACCAACCAATTCTTTAAACTGTAAAACTACTGACTTCGGGCATATGGAGTGGAATGGTGATCAGTAACTCCAGGAGGTGTTACTCATCTCCCCCTGGTGGTAGAAGAGAGTCTGTAAGAAAGGTGACTGGGGAAAAAAAACAACACTGTACAAAAAACCCACGGGTGTGCGGTCAATGGTTTAAGTTCAATCCTTAGGTCCCCCTCTACCAAATTTTCTAAGATGACCCCATGTTCCACAAATTCCAGAGCCGAGTTTTAAGTCCCCCTAGAAAAGCACCTGTACTTAAAATAAATGTGACCATCCACTGCTTAGGCATATTTAGATCCTCCAGGAAAGCCAACAGCCCCTGTCCTTGGATTTCTGAGGAGTACAGCAGGGAGTGCACGTGGAGGAAAGATGCCCAGAGGTACTGGGTGTGATGCCGGGTGGGAGCCAGGAATGCCTTAGATCCCCAGAGAGGGAAGGAAGCAGAGGCAGAGTTCCTAGACCGGGGGGGGGGGGGGTGGGTGGCCAGCCAGGCTGCATAGGGCACCCTGACAAAGGCAGGAGGGTTGGCTGTGGCCCAGGTCAGTTCTGGGCCCCACCTGAGCAAGTCAGGGAAGCGTTGGGGTTGGAGGGCAGAAATCCTAGGGCATTACACTTCTGTTCCGGCATCTCTTTGTGCACCATGAGACCCAGGCCACATTGACTATCTGGGGATTTGTAGCTTGTTGGCTCAAGCTACAAATGTAAACTCTGCTTTCTAAATTGTGATTAAGAGCATCCAGCAATCACAGTAAAATTTGAGAAAGAATTCCTTTTACACCTCTTGTTTAAAATTCAAAGTTCCACCAACCTGGGCCAGAGTAGGGTGGACATCTATTAATATACAGTTGATCCTTCAACAACGCAGAGGTTAGGGGTGCCAAACCCCTGTGTAGTCAAAAATCCACATTTTAACTTTTGACTCCCCAAAACTTAATAGCCTACTATTGACCAGAAGTCTTACCAACTAACATAATGTTGTTTAACACATATTCTGTATATGTATTATATATAACGTATTCTTCAAGCGAGAGAAAAAATGTTAAGAAAAACATAAGGAAAATACATTTACAGTGCTGTCCTGTATTTACTGTAAAAAACCTGCTTATAAGTGGAGCCCCACAGTTCAAACCCATGGGGTTCAAGGGTCAATCGTACACTCATGCAAATTTTCCACGTGGCCACCAGCAAAGGCACCAAACCAAACACTGCACTGTATGCATGGCTTTGGTTCCTGCTTCCTCATCCCCCACCCACTCCGGTAACCAGAGAAGTGAGACAACGGGAATCTTTTAATAGAGATCTCAGTCTGTTAGGTGCTGAGTCAAAAAAATTCTTAGTATCATTCCTCTCAGATCTGGAAGTCTCCTTGGCTCAGCGCCCTCCTTCATCTCTTACCAGTAAACCCCAACAAGCAAACTGGGGGAGAGGACAGTACACCCGCTCTTCTTACTCTCTCATTGACAGGACTCAGGGATGTTAGTTCTTCCGAGTCTCCCACCCGTGTGGCCGGTGGGTCTCACCCTGTAGCCCGCCCCACGGGGACCCTCTTGGGTCGGCAGAGGCGCCAACGCTCCCCGGGCAAGCGAGTGTGCAGCTTCCCTCCACCCCAACAGTGAAAACATGGTGGAAAGGCGGGCTAGAGAAGAGCAGTGTGCAGGAGGGCAGCAGAGGAGAGGGCCGGAGGGTCAGGGAGGGCTGGCAGTCAAGCCTTCCACCCCTACAGCAGAAGCCACTTCTCCTGCGGCCTAGTCCTGTGTCAAGAGCACCTGTGACCTGGCACCCAGAGCTGAGATGGGCTGGGAGGGGTGCGGGTTTGCAAAACTCCCTCCCCTCACAACATGGCAGGTGTGTGTCTGTGTGAGACTGAAAGACTTTGGCTTATTCCAGAGACAGAGACCCCCTTTTTTACAAAGGTATTTTATTTTAGTAAACAAAATATGGGTTCTTTTAAGAGCATGAAAAAGTTCATATAATTTTAAGTTAACCCTACAGGTTGGGAGTTTGTCCTTTGACACATCATTCAGTAATTGTCTCTTCTTTCTTCTCAGCTGAAATCCACTCAGGCTGACATTTAAATTGCAAATTCTAGAAAGGAAGACCAAAAGGAAAAGTATGAAATGTCTGAATGTTTTACTTGCTCGGCATTACCCCTCATGCTCAGCCATTTCAACTTAACAAACAGAACCCACTGAAGTCTATCTATTAAAGAATGTATTTTCAACCTCACGATCTTCTGCCCAGCTCAACATCCCCCGGGTTAAAACCAGGCTCGAGGCTGGAAGGAAAATGAAAGGTCAGTCCCGCTGCCACCAACGCCCCCCTTCCCTGGCGGCCTCCGCGGATGCCGGCGGGTGGGGAGAAGCATTTATGACTCTGGAGGACTCTGCCTGGGACAGAACTTCAACCTGCAACATTTCAAAGAGAACGGGCTTCCCCTGCCCGTTTTCACTTTGCTCACCCTTGTGCCAACTCCAGAGTTTCAGTCAGAAAAACACCTTTTCCAAAAAAAGGAAGGGTCCCTGACAGGAACTTCTTTGGCCTGGCAGAACGCCCACCGGACATTCCGCATGTGCAAAGTCCCAGTACCTCTGATTTCCCTTTAGTTCTCTTTCTTCTCGGACTGCTGCTTTTTCTCAGCTTCCAGTTTTTGCTCTTTTGCTTCCAGCCTTTTCCTTTGGTATATTTTGACTCCGGCAAATGCCAGGCAGAGAATTAAGGTTTTGGCTGCCAAGATATACAGTAGCAGGGGCACGTGTTCAAGGACCTTAAAGAAGAAAGCAAGCGTTCTAAATGTTCCATGATTGATAAGAAAGGTTTCTTTCATGTTCCTTCATTTAACAAACCTTTACTGTCTACCTCTTATGTAACAGGCACAAGGCGAGGTGCTGGGGCCACAAGGGTGACCAGGACAGACAAGGTTCCCTGGCCCACACCGATGAGTCGAGGCTTACCTCTGCCCTCCATCACTCCCCCGCTGCTGGCTTCACGAGAGAACCACCCGTGGACCGCTGATGTAACTCTGGTCTCTCACAACCGGACCACGCATTTTGCCAGTCCCCCAGGCCCTCTGCTTCTGAGGCGGCCCCATGGTCCAGGGAAAGGAGATGGAGCCGGGGGCCCAACTGACCACGCGACCAGGGTCAGTCACGGGACTTTCTGAGCTTCTGCCCCTTCGAGGGAGGTGGGACCAGACCTTCCTTCTGGACTCTCCAACTTTAGCATGCTACCTTTTCTTCTTGGTTGTGGCTACTCACTAGCACTGGCCCTTGGAAGGTAAAATAAATATAAAAAGACAAAAAAATTCAAAACATGAGGGGTGCCTGGGTGGCTCAGTTGGTTAGGCATCCGACTCTTGATCTCAGCTCAGGTCTTGATCTGAGGGTTGCAAGTTCAAGCCCCGTGTTGGGCTCCACACAGAGCGTGGAGCCTACTTGAAAAAAAAATTCAGAACGCGAAAACTTAGCTACTTATTAACTGTTCCTATAATTTCCTGTTAGAGGGAAGCTTTAACCCATGGGCTAGGGGCGCCTGGGTGGCTCAGATGGTTAAGTGTCTGCCTTTGGCTCAGGTCATGATCCTGGAGTCCCAGGATCGAGTCCCGCATCGGGCTCCCTGCTCAGGGGGGAGTCTGCTTCTCCCTCTGACCCTCCCCCCTCTCATGCTCTGTCTCTCATTCTTGCTCTCTCTCAAATAAATAAATAAAATCTTAAAAAAAAACAACCCATGGGCTAAAATGATACCTGGGGAATAGCTATGGATTTGAATTACTCTCTGTACTAGTAGGTGCACTAACTATTATGATAGTCTCTGTAGCACAATAGCATCTCAAGGCAAATACTATACTTGTTTCAGAAACATGATTAATATGACCTGAATAATAATTATGAGCTTTTTGTGTGATTAAAAATTCCTTCCCAAATAAAAGGTATGCTTTTTTTGAGCGATCACCATTCTAGAGGACTAGGTAGGATTTATTCCAATGAAATCATTCAATTGCCAAACATCACTTATTATATGCAATTCCTATATAATGAGCTTCTACTATGGAAAGAACATTTGCTCTCCTTGTAACAGTTTAACTCAACCGGTCAGAGAAAACTTCAGTTGGGAACAACATGCTCACAGAGCTGGAGGCCTGGGGGAGATTTCACAGATGACTTAGTCCACCACCTTGTTTCACAAACAAGGAGAGGGAAGCTCCTGGTGGGGGGCGGGGGAGAGGCCAACCCACGTCACACAGCGAATTCACAAGGAGGCCAGACTCAGAATGAACCGTTCTAACCCCTACGCCAGTCTTCTTTCCACTGCGTCCTGATTTCTAAGGAAATGGAATTAACGAAGTCATAAATTATGTGCATAGGTGTTTGTACAATTTTATTAAAATTCTTGATGACACAGACCTAGACGTAGATTTCACACGCAGAAGACGGAGCATTGGCTAGGCCTACCGGAAGCTTACTGTGCACTCAGTGACTCCCTTACATTTTCCCCTAGGACCCTCATCAGATCCCCAGGAGGCAGGCAGACTGTCCTAATTTTGTGGCTGAGAAAGCGTAAAGTCTGGAAAGGTTAGGTCTGACCAAGTCCTTGGACTGTTCCAAAGCCTGAACTCTTTTCATCATTACACAATGCTGTAATATCTACCATGTTCTCCCCAACCCTCCCCAGTTTTACAGCTAAATTATGCAAATAAATGATGCCTTGGCTACTGAGTCTCCCTAAGGCAACTGGAGTCACTACCTTTGAAATTATTTAGCTGGTTACTTATGGATATTTGAGGAAGGTTGCCATGTGATGCAGAAGGAATATACCAGATCACAAAAGGAAGAACCCAAATATTTAAATCGTCTGAATTTAACTAAAACGGTTAAGAACACAAGAACACTGAGTAACCGGATAATAGTTTTCAACCACAAAGTCATTTTAACAGGAAAGAATAAATACAACATACACGCTTCAGAAAGATCACTCCAGCAAGAGCATAAAAGGCTAACAAAAATTGCAGGAGTGAACTTTTTTCTCCTGACAAATATAAGCAGCTCAGAACACGGGTCTTCCTCACAGCTAACCTCCACTACCTCCCCCAGCCAACCCCCTAATTCATCTATTTTCTTGAAGGTTCTCAGTCACAATGAGGCTTGATTCCATGTTCACAAACCAGCTTTGAAAGAAAAAAAATGTCAAATGTTCTTTTACTTTATTTCCTTGGAGGCAAAAATCAACAGTTTAGAGGTAGAAACCCCATTTTATGTTCACTAGCTTGATCTAGGCCAACTGAAGCACTAATCCACATGGGAAAAGTTACTCTTCCAGTTGTCTCCATCTCTACAGCTGGGCCTGTGGGTCCTATTAGGATGGAGCCCACATCACAGCCCACGGGTCCCTGTGATGTGAACAGGGGACAGCTTTAGCAGGTACAGGAAGGGAGATCTCAACCGGAAGTTAGAAAATGCACCAAATTGGTAATACATCAATACATGGACAGAGGTAAGTGGTTTCAAGGCTTATTTTCTTCTTAAAGGTAGTGGACACAGGAGGCAGCAAGATGCAGAAGTTTCGGGACTGGGAGAGGGCAGGGCGGTGGCAGCAGAGGTCAAGGACACTTCATGGGCTTAAAGCAAAGGGTTTCAGGGATCCATTCCTGCCCCGCTAGGGTACCAAGCTTCCGTTGTGCTAGATCCTCCTTTGATTTCTAACAAGCCCCTCATTTTAACTCTCAAAACAAACCAACCTTCAAGAGGGTAAATGAATAAAATACTGTGGGGGTGGATGAGATCTATACCAATTTTTAAAATAAATCCCCAATACTTGTGTAATAAGGATGGCTAATTTTTTCAACAAGGAGGTCACACTCGGTTGCTAACGCACGATGTTAACTGTTACTGACGGCCACAGGCCCCCTGAGCCAGAAAGGGAAGCCCGCAGGATGTACTGTGCGCTACCTGATCCTCCCGCCTTCCAGAGCTCTATGAGGTCAGGGTGCAAGGAGAGGCCACTTCCTTCTGACATTACAAGGAAAGGCCCCCTTTTAAACATGAGGATGCTCCCTGGCAGCCACAGAGCTGTGTATCTGCTCAAAGTTGGAAAGGTGTGGGCAGATTCTGTCCCTGACATCAGAATGAACTCTTTTTGTCACAAGCAAGACTGGCCTGGGTGCTCAAATGAACACTTTCATCCCCACTGACTGTGGCCACCGCAGAGAGGACAAGCCCTTCCCTAAATCCCAGCCCACGCTGCTTTCTGCTTCTTCCTCTTACATCCCCTCACTGCCTCCTCTTTCCTTCTCAGCCTTTCTGCTCTGAGCTCTGGAACCCCAATATAGGCTAAACGAACACTCCTACATTTTCAAACCCTTCAAGAAACCTTCACTCTGCCTCTTACCTTCACCCAGGCTTGTCCTGGAGAATAGTCCCCACGGTCCTCCTGGGTGGCCCCCAAACCCCTACCCAAAGGAGCTAGGGAAGGAAAGGGGTTCTCTCTCTCCCAGCTCCCTGGCCCTGCTTCCAGCTCTTTCCAGTAAGCCTTGCAATAGAAAACCGGTGGATGTTTTGAACAAGGAAAGGTTCATAATTGAAAAAAAATATACCCAGTGGGACTGTAAGTTTGAAAATACACACACTACACTTACATATATGTAAAAAGGACTGGAAGAAAACACACCAAAATTGTTAAATAGTAGCCATCTCTGGAGGGTGAGACTACATGATTTTTACCAGATTTTATACTTCCAAAGAATCTATGATAAAATATATCTCAGTGGCTGCTCTCTTAACCGACCTTTACCACATCCCCATGTACTTCAGGGATTTAATGTGATGACTCTCCTTTCGCTCTGTGAGACCTGCCCACGAATGCCCACAGTCTGCAGGCTACCGTTTGATTGCCCTCGGACCTGTGCTTCCGGAGGCTGAGTCTGTGCTACAAGAGGACCACCATGTTTATTCCCCATCCAGTTGAAGCTGTACTTGATGTTATAATGGATAATTTATCTAAACACAATACTTACGAAATATGGCTATGTTATATGAGGAAAAAATTGTTTCCATGAAAACTAAATTGAATGCTTTCAATGCATTTTCAAATTTAGGTTGGAAAAAAAAAGTGCTGCTGGCAACACAAATGTAAAAGATTAGGGAAGAAAAATATAAAAATCTGGAAATATCTTGTATGTAGATTGTTTCCTAAAATATTAACCCACTTTAAAGAAACCAAAATGTGAAACTGTAGGTAAAACATTAAAGGCATGATTTTTGCAAGAAGAGTGAGGCAGATCCGAAGTCTGTACACCCAGTCAAAGAAAGGGCCTTGCCTTCCTCCAAAAGTCTGGGGAATAAATGTACTTTTATCTGCCTTAACTGAAAATATTATTTTTAAAGTATTATGAGGATTCCTGCTTTAATCCACTTTTTTCTTTTTAATCAACCTACATCTACAGAACTGTTATTCTGAATTTTTACAATGAGGACAAAGGAAAAAAACCAAGCCATAATGTTGAAAACTATTCTCACCTTCCAGTTCATGTTGGGCCAATGGCGAATTCACTCTGGGTCACTGCAGGCCCACTCAGACAAGCACATGAGGAGAGGAGCTGGAAGGGCAGGTCTTGCTGTTCTGGTAGAGAAGAGAAGAAACAGGTCACTCAGGGTTTTCTGGAGCAGATCACCATAGGAAGACCTCTTTGATGGAGAGAAAGGGCGCATGAGCAAAGAGAGCGAGGGCTGCAGACAGGAGGAGCCAGTGTCCCCAACAAGGTGACCCAGAGGGAAGCAGATGGCCTGGCTTAGGGCTGACACAGGCTTGGGTCTTGGTGAGCAGAAACGTCTCCCCAGCTGCTCTTTGCCGGGAGTGGGAGCACAGCCCAGAGCAGAGGTAACAGTGCTGCTCCTAAGGGGACACGTGCGCCCATGCCTTTCATCTGTGGACAGAAAAACCAAGTCCAAAACCTACTTCTCCACCCACCTCCTGCCCTGGGCAAGAGCTGATTTGTGGATGAGTGTCTTTCTGTTTTTCAGGTCCTCTGTTTTGTTTTGTTTTTTTTTTTAAGATTTTGTTTATTTATTTGACAGAGAGAGCTACAGCGAGAGAGGGAACACAGGCAGGGGGAGTGGGAGAGGGAGAAGCAGGCTTCCCGCAAAGCAGGGAGCCCGACGCGGGGCTCGATCCCAGGACCCTGGGATCATGACCTGAGTGAATGCAGATGCCCAACGACTGAGCCACCCAGGCGCCCCCTCTGAGTGTTAATGAAGCAAAAATTGGTTCTTAAAAATATCTGGAGGGGAGTAAATGACAGGGGAAAAAATTGTCCTTTGAAAGCAATTCCTATCTAGAATTTCATCTCAACTGTGAGGGAGACCTAGGGGAAGGTAAAGCAGGGAGTGGAGGTCAGGGACGCACCTGGAGCAAAGCATTTGCTCCAAGACCTTCTATGTCGCTATTTTTAGAATATGGTACATACCCCAAGAATCAGAAGACTTGAGCTCTGGATGAAGAACCTACACACTCTGGTAAGTGACTTCCCTCTTGGGGCCTTGGCCCATCTGTAAACGAAGAAAGGGGGTGTCAACTAAATGGGCTCTAGGGCCCCGGTTTTTTATGAAATTTGGCAACTTAGAGCATAATCATAGCTTCACTTCACTGTGCTGGGCTGCACGAGGGCGCATCAGCTGCATAAACTCATGCAGCCCTAGGAGGTAGAGGTTACTGTTCCATTTCAGAGACACGGAGACAAAGTTTATGTAACGTGTCACACACGGACTGGGATTTGAACCCATCCAATGTGGCTCCAGAGTCTTATCCTGATGTAGGCAGAAAGATGTGCATTCAAAAATCATGCAGATGCTCGTCTTCACATGTACTTAGAATTAAGAAAAGCACAAGAAAATGTCACAGGCCTTTAGAATGGGGATAATAAAATGAACTTTGGGGAAAAATGTTTCACTAAAACTTTTACTCACAAAAACATCTAAATATAGAAAATTCATGCCTCATCTATTCAAGGTCATAGTATCTGGAAAACAGGCTGGTGGTTGGCACAAGATAACCAAGTTTTCCCCATGACTTCTTTCAAAGCCAGATAAGTTCATGATAGGAACGTACACCATAAATCTGTTTACATGTGATGACGGTGACTGAAGGTGCTCGTTTTCTTCACAGATAAATGGCCAGGTTGTCTTTAAGTAGCAGCAGATTCTGATTTGCACTGGAGAGGTATGTTCCTAACGGATTATAACCTATTGCTAGAATTTTCACTTTCAGGAATCTCAGATAACCTCAGGGATTAGCCATATTGTAATCTGCAATGTTTAAGGTCACGCAAATTTTATTTTTACTCTAATCGAGTTGTGTACAAATATAGTAGGTGAGTTTGGCTGTTCCTAATTTTCTGAGGTCCTATTAATGTAATTAACATATTAATTACATAAATTAACATAAGAATTAATGGATTAATGTCCTATACATTAATGGATTAGTGTAAGATATTGATTCCCAAGGTCAAGGACGACAAATAGGTCCAAAAAGCTCATAGGAGGAAATAAATTAAAAAGAACACCCAGTGGGGCTCCTGGTCAGCTCAGTCAGTAGAGCATGCAATTCTTGATCTTGGGGTGGTGTGTTCGAGCCCCACATTGGGTGTGGAGATTATTTAAGGAAATTAAAAAAAAAATAGTGTTGACTTAGTAAACAACACCACCACCACCCAATGGTCTGGCCCTCTGGCAAGCCAGGACTAAGATTAAGACTAGTGTGACCTTGGACAAGCCGTTTAGCCTCTTTGAGCCTCAGGTCCCTCATTTTTAAGGTTCTTCAGAGGCTGGATTGTAAACACAAAACACCATACTCAGCATATGGAAAACATTAAATAAATATCAACCATTACTGTTACAATAAGTATCTCTCTCTCTGCTAATGGACATGCCAAGCTTAAGAACCATTAACAAGAGGCAAGCAAGGCAAAATGCAGTTAGTGCAAGACAGCAGGGACCAAGAGAGCTGGACTCTATTCTTGGTGGCACCCCTGGCAGGCATGTGACCTAGGGTAAGCCATTCATTCACCTCTCTGAACCAAAATGTTCTCACTTTAAAAACCAGAATCCAAAGAACAACTCTGCAACTCTGGCATTCGTAAGTCACCATTCTCTGGGATACCACAGAATGGGACTATGAAAATTTACTGGCAGTTGCCTCGACTTCATACAGAGAGTGAGGACATTCAAGCTCTTTAGAAAGAAACATATTTAAAGTCAACCTGCAAACAAAGTAGCGGAAAGGATGCAGTGAGAGTGGGAGACTAGAAGGCTGATCAATCCAGCTCATTCCCACCTGCTGCCTCCAAATGCTAACTTTCCCCATCCCCCTGCAATTACATGCTCCAACTCAGCCATTTCTGTAGCACCCCAGCAGGACTTTGGCAAATGAGAACAACTGAGAAAGCTAAAAATATCAGCAGGCTATTAGCTCCATGACATAGGCACACACACCTGCTGCAGCATCAGACACAGGACACAGCTCATATCTGAGGGCCGAACCGCAAAAGCCAACAAGATGGGAACACTTTTGAGGTATAAAATCTATGAAGTGCAGGAAGGTTTTAGACTTTCCCTAGAACTATCCACAATCCTAGCTTAAATCTGAAAAATAACAATGGCTTAGATAGAAATGATTCTGTCTCCTTTCCTGTAAAAAGAGCCTTTTTCCTTTGCCAGTTTTCTCCTAAAAACCAGAAAAGCTATTCGCTTATTTGGGTTAGGCCAGTGAAAGCAATCTGGACAACATATTGTCCACAATCTACGTTTTCTTCTTAGCACACCTAACAAACTCCAGGATCATCTGTCTCTTGGTGTCCACGCTCTTAGAGCCGCTAAGTAGGATATGTCAGTCTGAATGCTCCGAACCTGTTCGCGTTCCCAGTCTCTACTCTTGTCACCCCAACTCTTCACCCCATCTTTGGAAGTTGGAAGGTGCGGGGAGGAGGGAGTTAGTTGCAGGTGAACCTTGGGCATCACTCCGTGGACCGCTGAGCCCCACTCCCCGGTCACCTCGGATTCCCAGGGCCAGAGACACTGGATCTCGGCTCCTCCGTAACCGGGGGACCAGGCCAGGGTCCTCTCCGCCCCGACACCTGAGGAACACCACCACCTATCCCGCTCAGACCCGGAGATCAGGGCCACGGGCGGCCGTTGCTTCCCCCACCCATCCACAGAACAGGGTGTCCAGAACATTCGCTCATCCGCCCAAACCCTCTGGCCAGAACAACTCTGGGCCCCGCCCGGAACTCGTGCCAGTCTAAACATTGCACCCCGGGCGCCGGGTCCACGGATTTCGCGGCGTCTGGACGCCCGAGCCAGGCAGGGGCGCTCCGCGCGTGGGAGCCACCGCGGCCAGCCCCCTCCCGGTCCCCACTCGGGGAGCTGGCGCCGCGCGGCAGGGGGCCAGCTGGCGGGCATCGTGGACAGAACGCGCAAAGGTGGGGCCGTCCACCCGACTGCCCAGGGCCCCAACGAGCTGCCGGGCTTCGGGTCAGGGTCCCGCTGACCGGACGCGAACGTCACCCACTTACAGCTCCAGGCCGCGGAGGCTCCAGCGCCGGGACGGCACACGAACCGCAAATCCCACAATGCGGCGGGGAAACTACAGGTCCCGAAATGCACCACACCGCGCGCCGGCGCAGTGGGCCCGGGCTGTTTTGGACGGCGCTGCGCTCGGCGCGCCGGCGCAGTGAGCCGCTGTGGGCCGGGCGCTGGGAGACTGAGCGGGGGGTTACGGGTCACGATTGGCCGGGGCCACGACGGGCACTGCTGTCCAGGCCACGGTTCTGAATTTGCCGGAGCTGGGGGAGGAGGGCGGCCGTAGTGCTGGGCCTCTCGCGTCCACTGCTGTCTGCGACTGAGGATCCTTGGCTCCCCAGAAGTTTCCAAATTTAGCGTTCATCTCCTTTGACAAAATGCTTGCATTTTCCTTTGGGAAAGCGCTAGCCCCCATTCTGGGTTCCCAGACTCCCAACAAACGCGCAGGACGCGCGTGCAGTTTGGGGACGCGCAGTCCCTGCGCCACGGGAGGGCGCAAGCCGGACCCCGAATAAAGACCAGTGTTCACGGAGCTCTTTCTGTAGATGGAGGAAAGCAGCGAGGGGAGAGTAAGTGGCTGGCGCAAGAAAACGCGCGACTTGGCAGTCACAGGCGGACTGACGGCAAATCCCACTGTGACATCGTGTGGTGATGAAGTACAGATGTTAGGAACGCGGAGGAAGGGACACACAGGGTGGAGGGTTTAGTTGTGTCGACAAGCGAAGTTTTCCTATAGAAAGTAACAAAACTAGCTGTGTCCTGAGCACTGTGAAGCTCTGATCTCTCTGAAGTCTCACCACCAGCCTATAGAAGGACATAAAATAACCAATTCACGGATGAAGAAGTGGAGACGCTAAGACATTAAAGTAATTTGCCCAGGGTTTGGAAGACAGCAAGTGCCACAGCTGGGACCTGACTCTCAGTAGTGGATGTAGATTCCCATCAGGGCAGCAACTAACATGGGCTCCTTTTGCAACCATTTGTGAACTCTGCTTGTAAGAAGGAAGTGGGATTCAGGTCATACGGAGCCAGTCATCCAAGCAGAGGGAGCTCTAAAAGCAAAACGGGGCGGGGGGTTGCGGTGTACCCAGCAAGTTGTTTGAATTAGCATCTTAGTTACCTAGTTAAAAGTGGCCAGCCTGGAATTTTGGGAATCCATGCTAAAGTGGCAGACTGGGGTGAGTGGTTTCAACTGTATACCCAGCATGCTTCTAAAGATAGGCCATTTCTCCCATCCCCCAAAAGCAAAGTTGGCTGATAATCATCTACCTTGCCACTATACTTTCAGTGATGATAATAAAATGTACTCTCTTAGAAAAATCTAAATTTCTTTCCTTCCATCTGGTTTTCTGTGTCAAAGATCAAACCGGGCACCAGTGAAAGCCTTAAGGATAGACTTTATTCAGTAACTATTGCAGTAGAGAAGAGGGTCCAGTGTAAACCAAAGTCCACTTTGATTTATGCAGTGGTAACTGGGCATTTTAAAGGGAGAATGAGGGAGTGGGGTCAGTGGGGCAGAATTAGGGAAGTGGATATTTATAAAAACCAGAGGATTAGTCAGTCTGATCTGGTTCTGTTAATAGGCACTTATCTGAAAGAGAAACAAATTTCTGTCTTTATGACCAGAGGCAATGGTGCAGGTTAGAGCAAGGATCCCCCGCTTGGTCAGGAGAGTTACCTCCGTGAATGCTGGCATTCCAGAGACAAGACAGTTCTGGGTAGTAAAAGGTTTATATCCCAAAGGGGGAGAGAAAAGATTTATAATTACAAGTTTTCTAAAGTAACTGCTCTTAGAGGGAATTCAGGGAGCTGATCTGCTTATCTCCAGGTTTTGGCTGGAACCAACAGTAAATTTTCCTGGCAGCTTGTTGAGCTTCCTCAGGCAGGCACTCCAAATGGGCCTGGTGTCCTCTTAGGGATGAAGCCTTGAGCTGTTAGAAGCTATGCTAGTGTTTGTTCAAGTCTCGTAGCATGGAGAAGGGGACAAAATCATTTATACCAAGTGTCTGCGGGGTGCATAGGCCAAGGTTGAGGCCTTCTTGAGGGCCCAGAAGAGCCTGACCAGAGGTTAGTGAAGAAGATAGTGTTGGTCACCCGATTGAAACCTTGGATTTCGGTCTGGATCCAGACCCAGAGCCAGGATTTTGTAGTCTGGGTGGCCGCTCTGGGCACACTGGGATAAATGTTCTGTGTGCAATAGCATTTCTGGGTTTCTGATCTGAGGAAGGAGGCCACTCTTGCCACATCTGCTCTGGGAATATAAATGGCTTTCCATAACACTGTATGTAAGGCTTATGTTAGCATAATTGCACATTTATTACCAAGAAACAGATACCTTGTAGATATCTCACTCTGGCGATAGAATCCTTGTAGTCAATGGAAGACATCCTACAAGCATGCCTTGAAGAAGGGCTTCTTTTTTGAATTTTGTCTTAGTACTCTGAGACTTGAGGTCCTACTCACAATTGCTGTGCTTTGCCTGAGTAGATGGGGGAGGAGAAAGGTAAGCTGGGAGGCACAAAGCCACAACCCCATACATCTGTCTTCGCTCTGACTTCCTGCTCTCAGTGACTCAGAGAGAGTAGACTTTAAACCAAGTTAGGCCTGCCCTCCCGTCCCTGCTCTGCCCACTCTGTGTTGATCTCCTTTATAACCTGTCATGTTCTATCATCATGATGTTTCTGTATGGACCTCATTCTCTCTAATGAGTAGGTGGCTCCAGCTCAGAGAGTCTCATTCATCTCCGCACTCCTGGGGTCTATGCTAGTGGCCCAAGTAGACAGGTGTTAAATATTGTTTGATTTAATTAGCAGGTGAAATCACCTAATCTGTGGAGTGCATCCATAATGCAAAATCTAGATATAATGAACTGTCTAGCTTTTCAACAGACACCAGCAATCACTTTCTGTACCATCAGTCTCTTGAAACATAAGTGAAAATAAATAAATATAAATGGAAGAAGATAAACTGAGTTGAAAAAATATGTTATTTATAAGGCGATGTTATAACTTTTCCTTATTTTTTCCTATAATAACAAGAGCTTTGAAGAGTTAGTTTTCTGGAAAGCTTCAGATGTTAATTCTAAAACATGTTTCTGTTGTACTGGGTAATGCAACATCTCCGTTGGGGACTATTTGCCCTTGTGGAATGTTTGCTCTGTCTTTAGACTTCCAAATAAGCAAAATGTCGGGAAAACAATACCCATAAAGTAACCTGGTGATTCTGTTCATCCATCACTTCGGACTCTGCATTCCTGAATTAATAAATAAACGCTCGGATATCAAGCTGGTGGAGCAAGTGATACGTTTTTGAACCACAGCTTCTGGGTAACACAGCTGGGTTATTTATAAAGTGAATTCATCACATACAAACCAGTGTTTCATAAGAAAAAAGGTTCTGTGATTTAATAGTCCCCCTCTAACCCCACTGTCAGCACACAGGCACTTCACTTCAAATTTGACTTTATTTTCACTAACGTGACAAAATTTGTCAAAGTGGACATTGATTAAGATTCCATTTATATTGCCCAGAAAGTAAAAGAGGTGTTCCGCATAAAATATTGCTCTGATGAGCAAGTATAAATCACTGAAATTAAAATGTCATCTGTCTAAAGAAGATGTGGTATATATATACATATATATATATATATGTATATATATACAACGGAATATTATGCAGCCATCAAAAAAATGAAATCTTGCCATTTGCAATGACGTGGATGGAACTGGAGGATATTATGCTGATCGAAATAAGTCAATCAGAGAAAGACATGTATCATATGATCTCACTGATACGAGGAATTCTTAATCTCAGGAAACAAACTGAGGGTTGCTGGAGTGGTGGGGGGTGGGAGGGATGGGGTGGCTGGGTGATAGACATTGGGGAGGGCATGTGCTACGGTGGGCACTGTGAATTGTGTAAGACTGATGAATCACAGACCTGTACCTCTGAAAAAATAATACAGTATATGTTAAAAAAAAAAAAAAAGATAGTAGGAAGGGAAAAATGGGGGGGAATTGGAGGGGGAGATGAACCATGAGAGACTATGGACTCTGAGAAACAAACTGAGGGTTTTAGAGGGGAGGGCGGTGGAGGGATGGGTTAGCCTGGTGATGGGTATTAAGGAGGGCATGTATTGCATGGAGCACTGTGTGTTATACGCAAACAATGAATCATGGAACACTAGATCAAAAACTAATGATGTAACATATAGTGACTAACATAATAAAATAAAATTAAAAAAAGTAAAGATAAGAGATCATCGTAAAAAAAAATGTCATCTGTCTTGGTTGAGCGGCCACATGATCTCCGTGAAAATTCTCAACAGCAAGCAAGGAACTGAGTATCTTCTAAGCAATTACAACTTGGATTTGCTCCATGGCACGGGCATCTCTTTGGATCTGGATATCAGATGTTGGCTTTATGCTTCTTCTGTTTCTCAAGGACCCATTTTGATCCCTGCTGCACCCATGTTCTCGTGGATGGTGGTCTTTGATTCTTCTAGATTCAAGATTTGACTCTTGTACTTCTCTTGCCAATCTTCCACGATGTACTGGTGGTAGGGATCGTTGGAGTGCTCTTGCCTCTTGGATTTCACTGTGCTCACCAGGATAGCTACAATGATGAAAGAGAACATTCCGATCATCACCATGAGGTACAAGATGACATAGTAGAAGTTCTCAGCATCCAGTTTGGCTTGTAGGGCCTCTTGCTCAGCTGTTGTGTTCCTGCGCCAATTGTCCATATAAGTAATAAAAATCTTTTTGAAGACATCTTCCAGCATCTGTGTCAGATTGGATAAAGTAGGCATATCTCCCTCCTGCTGCAATTTGAATGATAAAATAGATGAACAAGGTGAAGAACACTGATTCTTTCTGCATTTGGCTACTTTAAGGGATAAAGAGAGGGGAATGCAAAGGGGAGATAATACAATTACTTCTTCACCTAGCTGGTGATTGATTGAGTGCATATATTTTTTTTTATTCTTTAAGCTTTGCACATGCATATTTATGCCCTTTTTGGATGCAGGATACCTTACAATAAAAATGTGATGGGGGACATAAAACTATATATACTATCCTCATTTACATATGTAAATAAATGTAAACATGCAAATGACAATGGAAAAAAGACAGGGAATCGTTCAAAATGTTAATAGTGGGTGGTATACCTAACGAAAATTTTTTCCTTCTTTATACTCTTCTCACATCCTAAATTTTCATCAATCATCTTGCACTATTTTGTTTTTAAACAGACAGGTCATCTCACAATAGCTAGCATAATGCCTTGTTCTCAACAGGCATTCCCCAGGGGTCAGTGGAATGAAGGGGCGACTCATGTCTGACTTGTGTTTTCAGAGAATTATGGGGCAGAAGATTGCAAGGGGCATTGACAGCCTTTGCAGTCTGCTCCATCTCCTTTGTCTACACAGTGCTTTCCCCAAGGATTCCAGAGAGGAATGTGTACATCCACATTTGAAGAAGCATCTTAGGCAAGTGGCACAATGAAATAACCTGAGAGATGGTTCATATTCCTCAAACCCACCTCTCCTCTCCCTCCTCACTGGCACTGCCCAGCCACCAACATCCCTCACCTTGAAGACACAATGCAGTGCAATGCGACCCTCCCCCAAACTGTCTCCTGGGGGTGTATCTGTCCCTCTCTGCCCTCCACAGCAGTCATTGTGCTCTTTTAAAGAAGGAAATGGGATCATATCCCCTTGCTTCTAAAATGATTCAGTCCCTTCCTGTAGTGCTTAAAATAAAATCCTACTTACTTCGTGGGGTTCACCTGGCTTGGCCTGAGCTGGTCCCTGACCACCTCCCCAACAACTCTATCCTCATGACAACTGGTCATATTGGCCTTCCTTGCTCCAAGTCAATAAACGTTCTCCTGCTTCAGGACATTTGCACATTCTCTTTCCTCAACCTGGAATAATTTTTCCTTTCTCTTCCCTCTGCTACCTCCTTTACTCTCTTGGTCCCAGCTTAACTGTCACTTCTGAAAAAACTCCCTGGCTCTGTTCTAATCAGTTCTGCCCCCGCCCCTTTACTCCAATAGCATCTTATTTTTTTTCCTTCAAAGCCCTCTTCACAATATGTGCTAATTATGTGTGTATATTGCTGGTGTGTGTGTGTATGATTACTGGCTTACGGTGTCATCTTTCCTACTCATCTGTCATTTCCATGAGGACAGGACTCATATCGCCTTTCCCTACCTTGAGACAGTGAATGTGGGCACAGAGCCCGACACATCGAAGGCACACAATGGATGTTGAATGAATAAATGGATGTGCCATGCACATGAGGGGCATTGGAAATGCAGAGACGATGAATATGAGATGTCTGTCTGTGGAAGCTCAGTATCACAGGAGAACTGCAAACAAATGGCAATGAGAAGTAACAAAGAGTCATAAGAGGTCTGAACAAAGCGATAAGGGCGCTCAGAGAATGGAGCTGAACATGGTACATAGATGGAGCAAACAGGTGTGAATAGAACTGGAAGGAACGTAGACAGGAAGTGAACCTGGGATTAGCCAGGACCTACAGGTTTGCCCAGTCAATAAAAGCCCGAACAAACCTAATTTGCCTAATGCCCTTCTGAAAACAATGCCTCTTCTCTTTAACATGTCTTTCATTTCCTCTTATGAGGAGAGAGGTTTCTGATCTCCCCACCTGCAGAAAGGGCACAAGTACACGTCCAGGTCTTTCTCTGACGCCTTCCCAACATTTCATTCATTGAGAATTACGGTAACTAAGTTAATAGATTTTTTCAATCTGATGTTTTAAGTCCTATTATTCAAAGGGCTCTTGGATCTTCCTCTTGCTCTCCCCTCCACACAAAGCCTAGATAATTGAAAAGGAACTTGACAAAGAGATAAGATTGCCCCAAAGTACATGCCAAGCACATTTTCCAAGCAATGCAACAGAGACAGGGTTTCTCCCCCTTAAAATAATACAGTTCACTGTGACGAGTATAGCTAACCTGGCTTTAATCCTATGCAAGACATCACCACTGGCTCCTTAACCCTCCCGGAGATGAGATCTGCTCAATTAGGGGGAGTTCATGCTTGTTTCATCAATCAAAAGACAACCCACCCCTGTGTGCTATGTCAGGGCTGGTTTTACAGGTATGATTCCTTCACCTGTGAGTGTTCTCACCCTCTCTTTCTGCCAACCCTTCTCCACATCTTCATCCAGTAAAGAAACTTGTGATTTGGCCAGCTTGTATACCCCTCCACCTTCTGCACCCTCTAGAGAGACTGCAGTTTCTTTTTGTGAAGCCAGATGGAAAACTGGATAGAACATAGAGACAAGTAAAAAAAAAGAACCAGGAGAGCTAAGTGTACAGAACGAAGAGCTGGTGGAGGGGTAGAGAAGTCCCAGGAGTGAGTGATGGGAGAAATTCGGCCTGGGGGAGGGTGCTGAGCCAATGCAGGGCAGCAGAAAACTAGCAGGGGGAAGGGGGATCCCCTTCTGGGCAGAGAATCAGCTCCCCTGCAGTGTTTTTTTCTAAGGTGCTCTCAAGATTGGAATTATTCTAGTTATTTTTGCTTATTGGACAGCACTTTTGGATACTACTCCAGTATGCACTGGGCCACATGAGGCCCTGCCTTGGATCTGCGTCTCTCCCCCCCCCCGCCCCCCACAGAGGTGATAGCGTTGCAAGCTCCTAAGTGCTCTGAGCTCCTCTGCCCACCCTGCCTCCCACGTATCTCCTTTGTGAGCTGTGCCACTGTGCTTGGAATCCCACCAGTAACTCCTCTGAGCAGAGGATGTGCAGGAGGATAGGGCACGCTCACTGCCAACACCGTTGTGTGAATGCTTTCATCAAAGCAATGACACCACCTATGAAAAATCTAGGCCAGCGCCTCACTTGTAAGAGTGCTCAATTGTGAGTCCCTGTCTTTTCAGAGCTCTGAGAGAATGGGGACATAGGAGAGCTATGTTTCGATGCTCGGCAAGGCCATCCAGGACAGGGTGCTTCAAGGGAAGCCTCGAGATTCCACAACTAAAATGGGAATGGGGCTCTTTAAGTAAGTATTGAGGGGGAGGGGAGACGGAACACAAAAGAGAGAGGAGAGGGCATTGGAGTAACCTTGGTCTTCTGATGTCCCCAGTCACCCTGCAGAGGAAGAAAGAAATACAATTTCTATAGGACAAAGGAGCTGAGTCTCTCCAGACTCACACATAAAAATGGCAGTATGTTCTTGTAGTTTAGAAACCACCACCCCCCCCACCCCGTCCGGGGTAACCTCATCCACAAGTTTTCCCCCAGACCTCTGTCTGAATTGGAGATCCTTTTCTGTGCTTCTGCAAACTGCCATGTTTGTCTGTTTGCTCATTTTCAATTACCCAGGTATTGTGAGCTCATTCATGTGATACTCAAAACCACTCTCTGACATTGGGATTATTAGCTCCAATTTACAGATAAGGAAACATGTTCAGAGAGCTGAAGTCATTTAGATCATAACTACATGGGAGTTTGAGCTGCTGGGGGGCAGGGATCTACTGTTTTACTCATCTTTGAATCCCAGGACCTTACATCATGGTTGATACATCAAAGGTCTTTTACTAAATGTTTGGTGAATCAGTGAATGTTCCTCTCTCACGTACTATGGATTTCAGCTGGAAACGACTAGAACGGTGATTCTCAACCTACTTGCAGGAGAGGAAGGGATTCACAAACTCCTTGAAAAATGAAATTAAACAATCTGATTTTATTCTTCCCCCCCAAAAGTATATGTATGCACATACAAAGCTCTACAATCAATTTCAGGGGACTCCCGGCCCCCCTAAAGCCCAACCAAGTATCCCTGTGACAAAATATCTTTGAGTTGAGGGACTTCAGTGCTAGATTCCACTGGAGTTATTTGGGTTTGTTTCAAGGTATGAGCATGGCAACATTCACCAACCTGCTGCTGGAGCTAATACTGATATTTGTTCAACTCTTCTAACATGAACAAAGGCTCACGGCAAAGCTTCTTGGGGCACCTGGATGGCTCAGTCGGTTGAGCGTCTGACTCTTGATTTCAGCCCAGGTCATGATCTCAGGACAGTGAGATCAGGCTCTGCGCTCAGTGGGGAGTCTGCTGGAGGTTCTCTCTATGCCTCTGCCCCTCCCCACTCCCCCCCCTCTAAAATAATAAATAAATCTTTAAGAAAAAAAGCAGATCAGGAGGTGCTTCTTGATAAGACTTAATCATAGAGTGAAAAGGGCTCAGGTAGATGAAGTACCTGGCCCCTGGCCAGGCTGAAAAAATTAAGTCCAAGGGGGATTCATATTTTGAACACTGTTGCATGAGACATGGCTAAGTAGTCTGTTGTCTGTTCCATAACCAAGGGAAAAGTGAATCAGTGTGTGAAAGCAATTTTACTGATGGACACTATGCTAGAACATTCTAAGAGGTTTAAATTTATGATACTCAGAATAACTACTTAACTAATAGATCTTGATCACATTTGGCATACATATTATCCCTCTCTAAGTAGAACACTGTAATAAGTGTTTAGTAATGTGAAGACTGTTATTTATGTTCTGTTGAACCATATGAAATTGCCACTTCTATCTGTTAAATATGGCCAGTAATGGCAATTTCATATGGTTCAACCTAACATAGGTGGACCTATATTTTCAGGCATTTTCAATAAATAGTTCTTGGTCAAAGAACAGGATGGGCCTCTAGAGATTATTTAGGCTGGCCTGCTCATCTGGCAGGTGCAGTAACTATAGCCCACAGAGCTTAAATCACCTGTCTAGCATCACAGTACTTACATGTTGACCATAGTGCTCTGACTAGAAACCCAAGTTACCCAG